ACCCATTTGGCAAATGTAACTTTTGACAGCGTCGACAGATCATCAAATGTCATACCACGTTGGAAGCGTCAGTCGAAGACAATTGATACCATGGAACAATACATTCCAAAGGAACGCGCTCAAATTGTTCAGCTCTACATTGAAAATAAATTCTCAATTGTGTTAACCCAACGTGCGTTTCGTAAAATGAATAAAGTTAAAAGTGCTCCAGTTAAAAACACAATTATGTCTTTGTACGCAAAATTTGTAAACACCGGTAATCTAAGTAATGCCAGTCATGTATCCAGGCAACCAACAAGTTACAGTTTGGTGCGGTGTTTGCGTGAATATGATCATCGGACCGTATTTTTTCGAAGACAATGATGGAGCCACGATAACCGTCAATGGTGAGCGTTATCGAGCAATGATAACCGAATTTCTGATGCCTATTATTCGTGAAAATGTCATGGATAACTTCTGGTTTCAACAGGACGGGGCAACTTGCCATACAGCTAGAGCTACAATCGATTTATTGCGAACATTGTTCCCTGGGCGGTTGATATCGAAAAGTGGTGATTTTGACTGGCCCCCAACATCACCAGATTTGACGGCATCAGACTTTTATTTGTGGAGTTATTTGAAATCCAAGGTATACGCTAATAAACCAAAAACCTTAAGTCAACTAAAAGACAACATTAGACGTGAAATAGCCGTCTGAAACATTGACCAAAGTCATGGAAAATGCTGAAAAAAGAATGCATTCGGCTGTCAGAGCTAAAGATGGCCATTTACGTGATATCATTTTTAATAATAATTTGTAAAAAATCTCTGTAAAAAATCTCCTTGGACCAAAATAAATGATTTTTGGAATAAAAAAAAAATTGTCCACTTTTTTGTTTTTGTTTTAAGAATCAAGTGGGTCAACTTTAAATGGCCCACCCTGTATATCAGTACCATAGATTGGGGTTTGTGGATCATAATCTTCATAGTCCGTGCCAGAGCCAGCTAGCAGGCTTGAGAAGTGATCCCTCCATAGCTTCAGCACAATCTCTGCATCTGTGACTAGGTGTCCTTGCATGCAACTCCTACAGTCTTACAACCTTGGGTCAGACGCTTAACCCTTTGAGAGAAGTTACGAGCTTCATTTCGGCATCTGCTGCTCTCTATGCTTTCACACTCTCGCTTTTCCTGTTCTCTTTTCTTGCGTCCTCAACAACAACCCGTGTAGCCCCAGCTTGCAGTGTTCTTCGGTAGGCGGCGTCTTTTGCATATGGTCATACCATGGATTTTTTGCTGGGTGGCGCTGGAATCCAATGACTTCTTCTGCGGAAGTTCGCAGGGAGTGGGATATGAGCGCCCACTGATCGCTGATGTCTTCAGGTGTTGGAGTTGTTCGGCTCAATAGGCCAGAGACTTGAGTGGAGAATGCATCCCTTGTCTGTTGTGATTGCAGCTTTCCGATGTCCAGCCTTCTCAGCAGTCCCCGACGTGCAACCTTCGCAACACTAACCGTGTGCGAATCTAAGCTGCAACAAGATAATGGTCGGAGTCGATGTTGTCATGAATTATTAATGTCATGAGAAGGGCAGTGGCCGTATGCTCGGTCTAGCTCCGCATAGAAAGTATCCTTGGTTATATGGTCTTTTTCTTCGGTTGGAGCGTGCGCGCATATCAGGCTGATGTTGAAGAATTTGGCAGTTATTCGGTTCGTTGCAAGTCTCTCGTTTATTGGCAGAAAGAGAGAGACTCGGCGCCGCAGTATGGTGCCAACAACGAAGCCACAGCCAAATTCGTGCCTTTCTGGATGGCAGCTGTAGTAAATGTCGCAGTCCTTCTTCTTAATGCAACCTTGCCCTATCCATCGCATTTCCTGGATAGCAGCGATATCGGCCCTACATTTTTTGAGGGTATCTGCTAGTTATTGAGCAGCACCTGGTCTGTACAGTGTTCGTGCATTCCACGTGCATACTCTCAAATCATTGTCCTTTTTCGTTTGCCATGGTCGTCAACGTTAAATCGGTCCCGTTCCGAGTCTTCTTCTGCTTCTTTCATTGAATTTTGGTTTTTCCATGGGTGGATTTCAAGTTCTACGCCACAACCTAGTTTGAAGAGCTAGGACTCTCGTCGCGCGCTTTAGTTTGCCACTCAACGGATGTTGAATGGCAATCCAGGGAGAACCACGTCGGCTTGAGGAGATCAGTGATAAGGATCATGCTGGCATTCACCAAGTTGAATGCAGTCAGACACTTTGCCTTATATGCTCTCCCCCATCATTATTTATTTATTTCATTGAAATTTACTTTTTAGGAGATTCCCATAAGTGTGTATTTACACGACTATTTATTTTTAATCATTGGTGTGCAGAAGGTGGCACCAACGCTGGAAGATTACAAAAATTATTGAAGTTATGCAAGAGCAAATTGAAAACAACGGTTACATTCCCGAGCTAAGCCAACTACCAAAACGTATTGATTGCATATGCAAAAGAATTGCTACTTTTTGGGATAGCTACAAACGGAAGAAAACTGCAATTATGCAATATCAATCAAGTTGGTTGAATGAAATAGAAACAATTGTGTTCATGTGCTCATGAGTTTTCTCAACCAACACAAGAAAGTGTCAATCTTGGACGGCCGAAAATTGACTTTTCAGATTGTTCGAATAGAGCAAAACGTCGAAGGATTGCTGAAATAGCGAAAATGGATAACTCTGCTGCTTCATTGCTTCGATCGTGCAGCTTGTCTTCAGGCCCAAAACATTGCCAAGCCGATATTGACGAAGTTTTATCACTTTTTGTGGAGACGAATTTAACGAAACATCAATATTTGCTTATTCGTTAGTTTATTAATACGCTTGTGTCATTTGATATATTGCCGAGTTACGAGCAGGTTTTGAAAGCAAAAAAAAACAGCTACCCAGAAGATATCAGCGTTACTGAAGCAAAAGCTGAAGTTCAATTGCAAAGATTGTTAAGATTCTTCGAATATTTTTTGCACTTTGCCTACAGATTAGATAAAAAAAGTTGGCGAATTTATACCCCTGAGGGAAAACAGTCACTTTTTTTAAGAAAAAAAAGAATTCAAGAAGACTTCAGGGCAAAAATGGGGCTAATAGTGGACCAGCCGAGAAGTGGAGGTAGCGGAATTTCAAATGACGGAAATAGTGCGAGAACCTTTTTCATTCGGAGCTATCTGCTGAAATAACTGGCTTAGATGAAAGCATTAAATACGTTGTTTAACATTGCTCCAAGCCATGGCATCAGGGTACAGGATTAATGCTGACAAATTCAGAATATATGCCCTTGACACTGCCAAACAATTGTTATGTTTGTATGATTGGTACTACTTCCCACTCTCGGTGCACAAAGTTTTAGTCCATGGTGCAGATGTGATTAATTTTGCTCTTGTTTCAATTGGAGAATTATCGGAAGAAGCTGCAGAGTCGCGAAACAAAGACATAAAACTATATAGAAAGCAGAACACACGAAAAATATCTCGGACTGCCACAAATACGGATTTAATTAATAGACTACTTTTGTCTTCTGATCCTTTTATTACAGGACTAAGGACCTTGGACCTAGAAAAATTTAAATTCACCTTGCAAATTTAAATCCAATTTAATGAAATCAACGTTAGATTTTTTAGAAGAATTTGATTAACTGTTATGTTTTTCTTTGTTTTTTGATTTAATTAATGTTTTTTAATTTTATTTTATTTGTTATGGCTCCTAATTTGTTTACAAAAGTGTCTTATTATTAAAGTATTTCAATATTACTTGAAACTGGTACTTATTTGTGTTTACAATTTTTGCTATGGCAGCTGTATGATATAGTTTTCCGTATATATAAAACTGGTCCAGGCATACAATCTGTAAGTTTGGTTTACATATCTTGAAAAGCAAAAAATAGTTTTTCATACTATATACTATTTCTATCCTATCGTTTCTATGGCAGCTATATGATATAGACGTACGATATGGCCAATTTTTTAACTATACATTTAAAATATTTTTTTAGAATTTTGTTGTACATTTCGTTACAATACCTGAACTAGAAGTATTTATGGCCGCGGCTCAGTACAAGCCCAACCACTGTGCAATGGTACAATTATACAAGGAAGTCTTGTCGGCTGCAAAATTATTCGGGTTCTTTCCCCCTATGGCTCTGTGCGCTCGGGTTTTCGAAGTGAGGGGTTGCACGCGGACGATTTTTTCTCAAAACGTTAGCCCTTGTGTGCTTATGAAAAATACTTGTTGCAATTATTGCAGCAAGCACATACAAGGCGTAACATGTAATATTGCACAAAAATATTTTGAAAGGGAAACAATATGGGAGCGAGTCCTTAAGGGCAGCTTTGGGTAAAAACCAAAAAATACGGAACAATTAATACTCAATGTCATATAACAGTCCTTTTTAAACCCCATGTACAGCATAAGGGTAAAACGACATCCTCTTTTTCTGTTTCTTTCGCACTTATAAGAAAACATACTCTCACTCGCTTTCATTGTAGTGCGCAATAGGGGGAAACGCAGCCGACGATTCTCTCGATCTTTCTCAGCTTGCATCGCTAGTTGCTTCATGCTACGTTCGCCCTGTCTTACTCTCGCTCAGTCGGTCTCGATCGCTCTCTCTTTCTTTTTCGACACTTTCGTTGCATACTTGCGTGACGTTACCGTTACATTTGTAAACATTTTACCCTCATGCGCCTAAAAAAGTTTCACTTCAAAAATCGATATATTTCCCTACAAGGTGAGAACCTTCCCTAAGGTCAGACTACTTCGTCATGTACTGCTGCGAGGAAATAATACGGTACTTAAAACGAAAATCACACTCAAAACAGTAGTTTTGGTTGTGTTTTGGTAAATAAATATATTGTGGTATGATATATTGTTGCTACTTTTTTTGCCCGTCTGAACACCTCATAACTTGGACACAGTGTAAACACGACTTCACTATCCTCTTTAGTGACAATAACATCGATAGATCGATTTGTGGTATATTGGATTCTTGGTATATATTCCAAGATGGCGGAATATGGGAAGAGGAAGATAACAAAAAGCAAGCGAAAAATCTTTAAGCGTATATTTAAATGTATAAATGCATAGGTCCATGAATTTCATAAGCCCCAGTACACTATTAACAACCAACCAGTCAATATCAAAGAAACCCGAGCACAGCTGCCACCATTTTGGTTTTTTTCGCACCCAGAGCTCTTGAACTGATCAAAAAAGTCGAATTTTTGCATTGAGTGAGTTACTGCACAGCGGAAAAAGAAGCCGACCAACAGGAATTTGCAACATTGCTGCTGGTAGGCGAGAAGTGTGTCTGGTCATAATCGCCTGGGAGCAAATCACTCGCGATTGCTCAGTGGACATCTTGAGTTCACTGCATCTGTTCCGCCACTGTAGAAGCCTAAAAACAATATTCAATATTTTGCCGAAACGCCTTAATATTTCTTTGCGTGTGCGAGCACCTAATTTGACGCCGAGACCTTATTCATCTACACATTTTGTAGACTCCACGAAACACCAAAGGAGATTCTGCAAAGACGGCCCGGGTGTTTTTATTGAAGCAGTGAGCTGCAGACTATGTCTCACTTTTTGCTTTTCCCAAACACACAGAAGCACACATAGTTATGGCTGCGACGAGAAAACTGCAAGGTAAGCAAATGCGTTTTCTGTTTAAGATTTTCGGACTACCTTTACCCTATCTTATATATCTTTTCGTGGCAAGGTGAAATTGATCGATGTTTAAAAAAGGTAGCCGAGGGCGTTGAAACTTTTGAGGATATATGGAAAAAAGTTCACAATGCAACAAACACTAATCAGAAAGTAAGTTTAAATAATCTCAAGTGTAGTAGAAATAATTTATGAGTTATCTTAATCCTTTAGCAAAAACATCTGCAAGAAAAGTATGAAGCAGATCTCAAAAAGGAGATCAAAAAGTTGCAACGACTACGCGACCAGATCAAATCATGGATTGCTTCTGCCGAGATTAAGGATAAAAGCGCCCTTCTCGAGAATCGAAGACTCATTGAAACTGTGGGTTTTTCTTAAGTTTTAATTTTACTAAGTATATAGAATTAAATTTCTTTTTAGCAAATGGAACGCTTTAAAGTTGTTGAGCGCGAAACAAAAACCAAAGCCTATTCAAAGGAAGGTTTGGGCGCTGCACAAAAGATGGATCCTGCGCAAAGAGTCAAGGATGATGCACGAAATTGGTTAACCAGTTCAATAAGCTCACTCCAAATTCAGATTGACCAGTATGAGAGTGAAATCGAATCGCTTTTGGCAGGGAAAAAAAAAAGATTGGATCGAGACAAACAAGAGCGGATGGATGACCTTCGAGGAAAACTTGACCGGCATAAATTTCATATAACAAAACTAGAGACTTTGCTTAGACTGCTAGACAACGACGGAGTTGAAGCAGAGCAGGTCAACAAAATTAAAGACGATGTAGAATACTATATTGACTCATCGCAAGAACCGGACTTTGAAGAAAATGAGTTTATTTACGATGATATTATCGGACTCGACGAAGTGGAGCTTAGCGGAACGGCTACGACGGATAGTAACAACAGTAACGAGACAAGTGGGTCTCCCAGTAGTGTCACTTCCGGAGGCAGTCCGTCACAGTCGCCAGTTACGGTTCAACACATTTTAAATACCTCGACGCAGGCAACCAGCAGTGGCAGCAGCGCAGCCAGTGCTGTGCTATTTCAGCAGCAATCGGCAGCCACGTCCAATGGTAGCAATGTAGGCTACGCGAGCGATACAAGCGCAGCTTCATCATCAGCAACCACATCTACAGATCCAGCGGGCAGCACAGCTGCCATTAACTGCAGTGGAGGAGGTGTTGGCGACAAGCGGAACAAGAGCAGCGACAGCAACTCCAACAACAAATCGAAAGTATTTATTGAAAACAATGCCCGTTTTGTGTATGGCTTTTGCAAAATTTTTGTGGTTTTTTTTCCCCAGCCACTGCCTCAGCAGCTTGTCAAGCCTACACCTGTGCGACCGTCGACCAAACCTCTTTCGAGTAGTGATAGTGAGTTTTAACATTTTTATGTCGCGAGTCTTCTTTTATTTAATGTTAATCCTTATGCAGCTCAAGTAAATAAGATTCTTAGCTCAACACCTAGCAAAAACCAGCAGCAACTGCCCACTGCAGCTTCAATCGTTGCTGCCTCCGGCTTGTCACAGAACAGTAGCAGTGGCAGCGGAAATGCCAATTCCCCAGCGGGAACAGGATCGCTACAATCAGCTTCTGGTGGTCACAATCCTGCGGTTCAGCCACACGCTCCAACGCCCGGGTTAAATGGCGCTAGTATCGCAGCCATCACAGTCGGTGTATCGAATGCCGTTCCGGCATCAAATCCGAGTACCATTAATGTTCAAGGCCCACCTGTGATTCAAGCAACACCAACCATTGCTTTTTCTGCCGTTGCAAAACACAGTTCATGTAAGATATTAAATCACTCATATTTAATGTTTCTACTTTAAAGGCATTTTCAACTTTAGCACTCCTGGAAAATGGGCCTTTACTGCAGCAGCAACAAACCATAGCTCCTACAGTGGCAGCTGCCGTTGGATCCGGAGCACAGGTACATTTGCAACAGGCAGCACAAATATCCAATCTTCAAACGAATTCCTCACATATACAAAATGGTAAGATTCTTTTAATAAATGTCGCTATAGCTTCAAGATTCACATAAATTAAACAACTAAAAAAAACGATGAAATTAATTAGCCTTTTCGCGTTTTTACTAGTTTGTGGTCTGAGTCGGTCGTTTTATTTTCCCAGAACCAAGCATAGAATAATAATAATTAATGAATGCGTTTTCAGAACCTTGTTATGGTTTTATAATAAAATTGTTGTATAACAGAATTGGATCGCTTAAGGGGGTCTGGCAACTTAAAAAAAAGCACAACTAAACTTTTAAGGTTATTTTGAACAATTAGGTGAATAATGTGATTTTTTGGTTCAAGATGTTGACAGATATTAGAGTTATCCATGCTGCGTAAAGCATTTCCTTAGAAAAGCTTTAAATTTTTGTTTAAAACATATTTACAAAAATTATTTTATTCTTTGTCCTCTTTCCAAGCCTGTGAACATCAAAAATTTTACATAGCTCGATATTTTCAATTTTTTTTCCACATTGTAAAAATATGACTTTTGACGTAATTTTTGTTTGTTTTATGTTCAATCGCGTTGATATGATAGATAGTTTTTATTTATCCCGCCCTCAAAAGACAAAAACATGGTTTTAGGAAAACTTGCTCAAAGTTTTTGATAACACTTCTTGCCTGACCCTTTTTTTTAAATGCTGTACTGTCTCAGTTTGTAAAATTCAGCGGTGAAAAAAAAAATGAAATAAAACAAGAAAGGAAACTAGCTTCCGCAAGCCGAAGCTTATATACCCTTGCAGTCATTAAATATGTCAAATAAAATTCATAAAGGCTAACAACATCGAAGCTATTACGATTTTTCTATTAATTTACCATATTAAATTTAAAAAAAAAACTTTTTTTACATTTGTTTTTTTTTTTTTTTTTTTTTGTCGAGAACATTGTGTACAAATTTTGAGTCAATTAAGGGGTTATATACCTTTTTGAGCGAAAAAAATGAGGGAACTTTGGATTTTTTTTCAGGTGTGAAGCAATTATTTTATGATACTGGGGGTTATTATTTATTGATAGTACATGTTTTTATAGACACAATAAACGTTTAATCTTAAAAAAATATAAATAACTTTCGAAGTTATGGCAATTCTCTCATAACCCTTTTTTTTTATAGCGGCTTGCGGTGACCACGATAGAAGTCCAGCGGGTCAACCAAAATCAATAAACCAAAAATTTTTTATTAGTTTAGTACTATTTCTAGTTCGTCATTGAATTACTTCAAGAATATTTGGTTTTTTCTGCATACAGTAACAATTTTTTCAAAAAATTTATTTTTTGAGCTCTAAAAATTGTATTAAAAATTTCTTATCTGCCCAATCGAAATTGGCGCATAAAAACTGATTCAATGACGAACTCGGCACAATCATTACGAATATTTAAAAAAAAATTGAAGAAGATCGATCAAATAGTTCTTGTGCAATCGCGGTCACAGCAAAAGCACTTTTGGAAAAAAACGACTTTGAGATAATCGCATTCAAAGTTTTACGTTGCGTTACAAAGAGTGACGAACCGCGCCTCAAAACGCTGTTTTCCTATCGAACTATTATTCGGATCTCTTCAAAAATTTGGGAAAATGTTCTCTAGGGGATATACTTTAGGATTCAGCAAAAAAAAATTTTTCGTTTTTTTGAAAAAAAAGAAGGTATATAACCCCTTAAGGCAGGTTCTCATCTTGTAGGGCCGAAAAATTGACATTTTTAAAAAAAATTGTTTTGAGAAAACGGTTAAAGATAAAAATCTGAAATTTGTAACTTTATTTAAAAACATATTTATTTTTCGAACAAAAATTTCAAAATTGAAAAATCAAAAAAGGGGCGGGAGGGGGCGTTCCTCAGTTGCAACATTTCGGCAAAAAGGTGTCCCGCTTACGGAAGTGATTCAGCCAAACCGGGTAATCGGAAACACAAAAACCGAAAAGATTCTTAAAGTGTACAGTACTGTGCATAAAATGAACTGCGATCAGAAAAAAAAAATGAAAATTGCAATTCGATGACGATTGGTTAACCCCAACGCCTTCAATTACTTCCGTAGATCCGAAAACGTGGTTCCGAGATAAACGGTTCCTGTAATTTGAATGATTTGGATCTGAAATTTTTTGAGAACATTTTTGGAACATATATCTATACGATAAGCCAACAAAAAAAAAACCAAAATTTTTTTGACACAAGGTGAGAACCTGCCTTACAGTCAAACTAACGGAGTTACAGCGTTTTGAACAACCGTATTTGGAAGTATTTTCACTTATAAAAATACTTTGAATCGATTTTGCCGAAGACGCTATTTTGAAAGTCGGTGAACATCAGAACTCAAAATCTACTGAACCGATCCTTTTCAAATTTTTAACACAAATTCTCAACATAAATACGCAGGTAATCAAGAAGTTTTTTTAATTTTTAATGTTTTTCTATTTTAAAAAAATAAATTAACAGCGATTTTTAAAGCTAAAATCGCACTTTTCACTTTCAAGTGCTCCCAAAAATAGACAAAAAATAAATTTAAAAGAAACTCTTCCTGATTATTTCGGGAAATTCATTATCTTTACAACGCATATCACATTTTATTTTTAAGATGATCCGTTAACGCCCTATGATGTTCACCGCAAAACAACTTTTTCTTTAGGCGCTTCGGAAGATTAACCGCCACAGGCTTATTTCTAAATATTTTTTAATAATTTTTTTTTTCTAAAGCATAAAATTATTATTATATTTTGCAGGTCTACCTGTCTTGGACAGCGCTAGCGAAAACCGCATTAGTGTCGTCGATACAATTTCCCTTAAAACAATGGCACAGGAAGCCATTAATCGATCGGGAATCGAGACAAATTCATTGAACCAGCAACAAGTTAGCAACATCGACACAAGGCAGCAGCATTCACTTCTTCACCAGCATTTTAGCTCGGAAAACACTGCCAATCCGCAGCAAGGGGCATCACAACAGCAACAACCACTCCAGAATACCAACGCAGCTGCGGCCGCCATCGGTTCAATTGCAGTTACAGCACATGCTGCAGCAAACAGCAACGGGCCTACCAGCGGCAGTGGACACATCAATATTTCTAACGCTGCAGGACAGCCGAACAGCGGCAATGCCAAGGTACATGTTTGCCAAAACCAACAAATGGCTACGACGGAAGCGCACATTCCTACGCTGCTTGGAGTGACTCCTTTAGGTCCAACGCCACTTCAAAAGGAGCATCAAATGCAGTTCCAAATGATGGAAGCCGCCTATTATCATTTGCCACAGCCTATGGACACGGAAAAGCTGCAAACGTACTTCCATCGCGCACCAGTGCCCACTCCAGCGCATTATCCACAGGTGGGGTTTTGAAACAAGATCTAGTTCATGCATGACTTACCATTTCTTTTATATTTTCATCAAGGCACAGCTCCCTATATACGATACCGTTGAATTCTATCAACGACTCTCAACTGAGACGCTGTTTTTTGTGTTCTATTATATGGAGGGATCCAAGGCCCAATATTTGGCGGCAAAGGCTTTAAAAAAGCAGAGTTGGCGTTTCCACACGAAGTACATGATGTGGTTTCAAAGGCATGAGGAACCCAAAATTATCAACGATGATTACGAACAGGTGAGCAAGCCAATATGATTTCTAGAGCTAACTAAAGCTAAACACCTTTCACAGGGTACGTACATCTATTTTGACTACGAAAAGTGGAGTCAGCGGAAAAAGGAGGGTTTCACCTTTGAATACAAGTACTTAGAGGACAAAGAGCTGAATTAAAATATTGCGATGTGTGTTGTCGTTTGTCTATAAAAAATGAATTAAAAGAATTGAAAAAATAATCCCATTTTCATACAAAATTACACATACACAAATCATAACATAAAAACTCAAAAACACTAAGCGAGAGATAAAAAAAGAAAAAAAAGAAAGAAATAAACACGAGAGCAAGCGAGCTGTAAGCATAAGTTAAAAGAGAAATGAAGTATTCGGAATGTGTGTTAAAATTTATGCTTTTTGTGTTTTTTTTCCGCACAATTCATAAGGATGCTATAAGACATGAGATTAAACGTAACTCATATTAAAGTTTTCTAAGCGTTCTTTAAGCTGAGCTTTCTTTTTCATGCAAGCTATATATATATTATAATACGTTTCGTAGTCCTTTCAACTTCCAATTGTTTCTTTTTGTATAATATTCTAGCAACCAAGTGCACGCCACATTTTTAAATAAATCAAAAAAAAAAAAAAAAAAATAAGAACATTTTGAGCCCATTTTAATGTCTTTAAAATAGGGCCTATGATCAAGTTAAAAAATTCACTACATTTTTTAAAAATGATTGTAATTTTGGCTACCAGATTGGGTACATTCTGAAAGCCAAAAATAGTGAAATGCAAATTGAACTATTTTAAATAAAAGAAGGAATATGAGTCAAAAGTGGGTCATGTTAATATATGCACAATCTCGGTCAAATTCACTTCGCAATTTTAAAATTTTTTAGTTTTAAAACAAAATTCCCCGTTTAACTAAGTATAATGGTGTCAATTTTTCGTTCTGTCCTTGTCGTTGCGCTTTAGATTTTACAGTTGACAGTTACATTATAAAATAGTAGTAGAGATAATTTTAAGAGACAACTGCATTTTAGAATGTTTTGCGTAAATAAAGCATTTTTACTGATATTGTAATATGACACTTAAGAATTTTAAAGTTTCATTTTAAAAAGAAAGCAAAATCGGAACAAATTTTAAAGTTATTAAATATGCATATAAAAATATGTCATTAAATTATGGTACTTAATTAATGGTTTGCAATTGACTTAAGATTCCTCGGAGAATGATCAGAATTGCAATACGTTATAATTCCGACTAAAGCCTCACCGCTGTATCCATGCCCCAGACAATGTCTTCCTCATCCTGCTCGTCATGGCCCCAACCTTTATCTGCTTCCGTATCCAGTTCGTAGCTGTTACCAGTAAGAGTAGCCGCAGCCAATCTGCTGCTTATTATTTCCGCTGGTTCACTGCTACTGATCTTAGTTTCAATGTAGGGCTCCATGTCTTTGAAAAAGTCATACTCGCTTAACTTTGAGCTGTGAACCACGGATTGCACTTGAATGTCCAGCCCGTTAAGATCGTCAATACCCTTGTGATCCGTATGCAACTTTCTTGTTGAAAAACTTGTGTTCAAGGTAGCTGAATGGCAAGAGTCGTGAATTACAATTTGCTCATCGTGTGCGGTTTCATCTTTCAACTCGTCCGTTTGGCTGTGTGAGCTCTTGAGTTCGTCTGTAGTATCCCCCCAATCAGACCATATCCTATCTGTAGTTATGTTTGTAATAGTATTTTCAAGGCATGCTCCAAGGTTGTTAAAGTTGCTATCAGGACTGATATGTGGATCCATGTCTTGAGACGTTTCATACAAATTTTGTACATTCTTTTCGTCTTCGCCTCCGTCTGGACTGAGGCGACGTGGGAGGTGGTCCACATTGTTTTCTGTTGGCATTGGGCTACCAGAGACCATAAATTCTTCCTCGACATCAAATGATGTAGTGTTCATTACGGGAGTTATTGACCGGGGCATATCCTTTGAATTTTGGCGCTCTGTGGAGACAGCTGCGTGCGGCCGACCATCCGAAAAAAAACGGCGACGATCCCCGCCTAGAACTTTGCTACCTCCCAATATGTGAACCAAAGCAGCCATGCTTTTAAGGGTTTTAGCAACCAGAACGTCATTAGTGTCGCTTAGACCAAGACGCAAGTGCGGAAGGATCTCACTCTCCAGTTGCTCGTCGCCCAGGAGGCGCACATAGTCCGCAAAATAGTCCAATAGTATCAAACGGATCTGTGCATCTCGCATACGGAACATTTTGAGTATGTGCGGCATTAAGTATTGGACGTAGATCTGCGGAGAAAACAACGATGTTGCTTTATCTATAGCTTTTGTACGAAATACATAAGGAATCACAAATTGTTGCGCGGAAGAATCTAGTAGAACCATTCTAGAAACCAGGTCACTTGCCAGCTGCGAGGCCACAACTTCCTCGTCGAAACTTCGCAGCCGTTGAATCAAACTTCGAAAGAAATGTTGGCGCTCCTGTACCGATTTCAGCGGCAACTCGAAAAGAAAGGAGTGTATAAGTATGAATTCGTGATTGAAATAGGGATGTAGCAAGATGGCCGAAAGTCTGGGCCTAAGTTTTGTATTCTGGTGTTTCAGATGCGTGCCGCAGTACTCACGAAATTCATGAACATGCGGAGTGCCATCCCCATCATCACTGTCGGTTTTTCTTCTGCTCAACACGTGCTCACACAGAACGGCGAAGGAATATTGCTCGAAATTCTCTTCGCAAATATTGGGATCCAAAAAAGTACGAGCAAGGTCAATCAGCTGTTTGTTGACTTCCGTGGCTGTCCAAACGTACTCGAAGCCAGATAGGCGCCAATTACCACTGTCCGTCACGTAAATATTATGTGTGCTTATGTTTAAGTGCCTGGCAAGTGCTTTCTCAGTTAAAAATATAAGACTGCATAGGATTGTCCGCAGGCCAAGACATTTTTCTAAGTCTGTCTGACAGTCCAATACCTTGTTCAGAGGCACGACTTTTTCCGTTGCAAGGTAATTCCTTCCCGACTTTTCCCAGCTAGTTACATATTTCAAAATGTGTGGGTGGCGATAGATCTTCAGGTTCTAAGAGAAAATATTCAGTTAAAAGATATTTTTTGAACCCTGAAAATCTACCTTTATTGCCCTTTCAGTCGGGCCCACTCCAAGCGACCAGAGCTGATCTTTGACGCAGACTTCGCTCTGAAAAATCGACAGCAGTTTAGTGCAACATTCGTCATTGAATGTTGTGGGAAGCTCAGCGTTATATAAGGTCCAAAAATCATTTATCTCGACCGCATTTTTTTCAATGGTTAGGCCTTTTAATTTACTGCCTTCATTGCCCATTTCTTTTTCTGCTTCCGACAATTTTTACAGTAATACCAGGTTTTGGCAACTTGTTTCCTAGAGCCACATCTTTGTTTAAATGTTTTGTATGATTTATACTTAGCCGCATCAAAAAGTTGATGCGTAATATATGATGCGGAGAGTAAACACATAATCGCGTTGATGCAAAAACAGCTGATCTGCCTAAAAAATGCATAAGCAGTAAAAGACGAAGACTTTGAGAAGAATTACGATTTTAACTTAACACAACAGAACACATTTTTATAAACTTTTTGGAATGAATTTTTTTTTTATTTTTGGCGACAAACCAATGTGGTAGGTTAAGTAAGAAATAAGAAAGGAAGCAAAAAAAATTTTCAATATTATCACCAATTTTTTCCTATGACAGCTATATGACAGCACATTTGCATAAAAAGGCACGACTTCGACTGGCGCCCAGTTAACTCAGTTCATTTGTGAAATAAAACATATGTATCATATCACATTTCGCATGTTCGTACAAGTTAATAAGCAGGTTCTCGCCTTGTGGACCCAAAAAAAGGCACCTTTTTAAGAATTTATTTTTTTTAGAAAACGGTTACCATTTTTTCTGGATATGAATACTCATTTATTTTGAGAAATTTTGAAATTAAAAAAATCAAAAAAAGGAGGGGGCGTTCCTCAGTAGTGGCATGTCGGCGGGGAGATATCCCGCTACCGGAGTGATTCAGCCAAAACGCGTAATCTAAATCACAAAAACCGAAAAGATTCTTAAAGTGTACAGTATTATGTATTAATTAATTAATTAAACTACAATCGGGAAAAAACGATGAAAATTGCAAAAGTTATAAACTTTTGAAAATAAAATACGATTTTCGGCTTTTTTTTTTACATATTATTAAAAAAAAAATTTCAATATTTTTGGTTGATCGTAGTTCATTTATTAGAAAAATCTATAAGGAACATTTAAAAAAGTTTTCCCTTCAATGTACCGGTGCTCGACAATGCTCCATGTAAAGGCCTGTAACTCTTTTAATTTTTCCAATTTTGATCTGAAATTTGTTGATAAATCAAAAAAAAATCGATTCTATTTTCCCCACATGGTGAGAACCTGCCTTGAATATAACATAAGCTAAAAAAACATCAACATTTTGGTCGACGTTATTATTTTATTTTATTTATTTCTATTTTATTTTCGATCTTTCCAGAAATCCGATTTCAATAAAATTTAAAAACACAATATCGAAAAAACTGAAGTCGGTAAATACATGGCCTTAAAAACTAGAGCTTAGTTTACATAGAAACAAAAAGACGGACAGACGTATTTCGATTCAGATCGTGATGCTGATCAAAAACATAAATTATCTCATAAGTTGGTAGCCCGATGGTAGTGCTGCTCCAGAATGGGCCGATGATGAGGTGGCACCGGTAGGGCGCTTGCTGAGTAGTAGGGCTGCTGTCCAGGTGGCTAGATGAGAATTGGCGGCCGGGCTGCTATTTCTAGATGGCCGCTGATGGTGGGACACCGGTAGGGTGCTTACTGGGTGCTAATATGAAGTTAATGATGAGAGGGTGACTGCCCCCCTATACCCCTGGCCTTAAGCTCAGTGTGCGAATGCAAATAATAAAACGGCGATCAAGTTTATGAGCCAAGTGCTCTTTATTCAAATAATTGTAAAACAGAACTGAGGAACTTAGCTGTAAAGAAGGGAGCTTAGTCGGCAGGCCGACCGCATATTAGTGGAAAATGCCAGTGGCGTATCTAGGGTTACTGGCGCCCGGGGCAAAGTGGAAAATTTGCGCCCCCCTACCCCTCTGCCTTACGAACGTGACAGACTATTGTTTTTCAAATTAATAACATTTAAAATATTTTGAGTATTTGAAGGTTTATTAAGGGTAAAGTTTTAAAATTAAAAAAAATTTTTTTTTAATTTTTTAAAAAATTTTTTTTAAGTTTTATTTTCTAAAAACCGATATGTTGAGAATATTGTGTAAAAATTTTTAGTCAGAGTCAAACTAACGGAGTTACAGCCATTTAAACGACCGAATTTGGACGTATTTTAACGTATACAAATACTTTGAATCGATTTTCCCGAAAACGTTATTTTGAAAGTCGGTGAACATCAGAACTCAAAATCTACCGAACCAATCCTTTTCAAATTTTTAACACAAAGGCTCCACATAAATATACAGGTAATCAGGAAGAGTTTTTTTTATAATTAAATTTTTTTACTATTTTTAAAAAATAAATGAACTGCGATTTTTTGACCTAAAATCGCACTTTTCACTTCCAAGTGCTATAATCATATAGATAGATAAAAAAAATATATATAATAATGGAAAAAAATTATAACGTCGTTGTTTTTAATCCCACGAGCAAAATATGGATTTTCTAATGACCCTTGAATTGAGTAAAAAATTTCATTAAAATCTGACAACGTAGTTATATAGCTGCCATAGGAAAGATCTAAAAATCTATATAGAAATTATGGAAACTAAATTATGACATCGTCGTTTTTCATCAGAATGGTTTTGGAATATAGAGTTTTCTATCAACTTTGGAAATACGAATTAAACAATAGTCGAAAATTTGGAAAATTTATAGAAAAATCGTCATAGCTTCGATGATGTTTAGCCTTTATGCATTTTTATCGACATATTTGATGACTGGGCATATAAGCTTCGGCTTGCCGAAGCTAGCTTCCTTCTTGTTATAATTATTTTGTTAGATGAACGTGATTTTTCGAAACATACAGTGTAATTCAAATACGATTTTGCGCCCCTTAGATTTGGCGCCCGGGGCACTTGCCCCTTTAGCCCCCCCTAGATCCGCCACTGGAAAATGCTGACCGGAAACCAATGAACTAACGGCCCCCAAAGGCGGGTATGCTGAGTCAGCATCTATGTGTGTGGGTTGCTTGCTTTTGCCTGCATCGAAGGTCCTTGCAAAGGCAAAGGGACATTGCTCTGCTTATTGAACTGCGGCTAAGAATGCAGGGAGCGTCTCCTGTCGCCTTTTCTCCACTCCTTCAATCCTCCAATGCTCCACTTGGTTGGTTCGTTGCCTTGGCTGGTTATTAAATTTCTAACGACTGTTTTTTACCCCTCAGTAGTGTTAACTTATATGCACTTTATGAGGTCTGAGATGTCTCCTTCACTGAGCTGCAAACTTTTGACTAAAATTAAAAATCGATCAAAATTATTCTTTTTGGAGCAACTCTCTCCCCAGCATATCTACCAATCGAAAGTGAGTCGCCATTACACATACAAACAGAAGAGTGGGTTCGGAGCAAGGAAGGAAGGGCAAATGTATTTTCTGCACATCTGGAAAAGTCTTCAAACCACTTACATCCACAAATAGTTTGTGCTTCCAATAAACATAATTCCAGAGGCTGCCCCACCCATCATATTCCGATCAGAGGAAATTATGAGTTATAACGCTTACGAGAAACAAAAAGCGCTTGATGAATATTATCCGCGACGATAGAAAAAGTCTGTCATCACAATGCTCCATAAAGCCGGCAAGGGAAAAGGACCCTCATCATTTCGGCCAATCAAATATATTTGAAAAGCTGATCCTGAATCGTATAAGCAACACCTACAGTCGCATAATGCCATCCCCATGCACCAACCCCATGCACCAATCTACAGAGATCCGAAAAACATTTGAAAGTTGAGAGTATTGTTCCGCAGTCTTTTTGAATGTCACCCAGGATCGATCGTATTTGGTTGCAGTCCTCAAACCAATTTGGAAATACGGCACTGATCTAAAGGGGGGCCGACTGCGTTAGTAACTTCGGAGTAATCCAGAGAGCTCAATCAAAGATACTGAAAACTATTTTTTGTTCACCGTGGTACATACAGAATGAAAACATTCACAGAGATTTAAATGTGGAATCTGTTAAAGATGAAATCGACAATTTAATACGATCAAGCTATAGGCTCAAAAAAATAGGCTTGCGCGGTCTTTTACCTGGAACGCTAGCCATAACGACTCCGGCGAAGAGACCTCCCCAGCCAGCAACAATAGCTTGGGTAGTTTTTATAAATACTTAATTGTAATTTATTAAAAATATTTGAATACTTTTCGTCCGTCCCGAGGGGAAAAGATTCGATAAATAAAACACTGTAATTAAAAAAAAAAAATGTTAGTCTTTAATCCGACCTGAGAAATTTTCAAAACTGTTGCAGCGATAATTTACTAAATTTAAACAGCTCTAAGTGCAAGCTGATGACGTTTTGTCTGTTCAATCCGCATAATGTCACGCTTTTTGACGATCTTGACGTAAATTTATTTCCCACTTCATGTTTCGAACATGATTAATAAAGGTAGAACTTATTTACATCGTTGATCCGGTCAATCCTTGAGTGTGGGGCTCTGTTCTCAGTACGGTATGCACGCTGATCAAATATAATGAGTCCAAAAATTATTTTGCTATTTGCCTGACGCCGCCTTAATTTTAATGCAAACCTATTTTACCCTCTTATTCGAGCAGATTGATTTTTATTAACTTCCCCCTTCTTAATTACGACAGAACGCTGCTTGGTACTGTATTTATTTTTTGCCTTATACGTGGTGAAAATGACAGTCCTTAATTGTTGGGTAGTTTAAATTTCTCGGTGTCAAATTCCTTTAGTTTGAAATCAATGTAATTATAACTTGCTTGAGCCTTTTAAAATACTTTATCAGAACAAAATACTCTGAAAGGCTTATTGTCGGGTCAACCAGCCCCAGCAGATAATTAGTTTCTCTTAATGGGATCTCTTATCTTACCTGCATAATTACCATCGCTCTCTCTCTATCTTTTTTCAATCGCTTTCTCGTTAGCTTCCACTTTGGGTCAGAAATCGGCTGATCCCTTTCTCACTTGTAATTCTAACTCTTCTTTTCGATCCCGCGGACAATTTTTGTCAATAGCTTTCGCTAAAATAAAATCGCAGTCTTTGCAGAACTTAAAACCTAAATTTTCGTCGATTAATTTCAATATCTAATAAAAATGCTTATTAACTCAACATTTGGTGACCCCGACGTGATTGTGCATAAAAAAAATACCGAGTGCAAGTCACAAAAAATAATTTATTTTACAAGGCTGCATATCTCACTTTATCTTATGTTGCAGCTGCATTGTGCGTCGGCCGGTCATAAATATAATAATACAAATTTATTTAAATTGATGTGTGCAAATAATATTAGGTTGTCAAAAAAGTCTTGCGGTATTTTCGCTAGTTGGCGCTGAAAGCGCGTAGTTCTTGTTTTATTCGTCGCATCAGGTCATACCAAAACATTTTTGGAAAGCTCATTTCATGGACAAAATAAAGAGAAAATACGGCATATTTTACAGTACTACTACTACTACTACGAAGAGGTACGATCGAGTTTCGTGCACAAAACGAACGAGTTCGAACCATTCACTTGAGTGTTCTGCTTACAGATTCAAACTGATTTGTTGGTTTCGGTATGATGATAGAAAATGATCGTACCGAAAAAGACGATCAAGTACAACGAGGCACGAACCGCTCAGACTTCAATCAAGTTGCACTTGAATTGAATGTGAGTGAAAGAATCAGATCGAAAATGTGTGCATAGTTTTTATGTAAATATGTTTATTTTAAAGGAAACAAGTTGCGATGCATTAATTTAACCAAAATACAAAACTTCATTTATTTCTTCATTATTAAAGCTCAAAATTAAAATAGAATTAATACTTCAATTAATCAGCAAAATTAATGCTTCAAATATTAAAGAGCACATACTTCACTGAGATAAAAAAAAAAATAAAAAAAAAAAAATGTCAATCTTAATCGCTTTAAAAACTAAAACAATAGATTGACTAACCAAACCATTTCCATAATTATTATTGAGATTTTAGAGATCAAACTACAAATTCTTAGCAAGTGCACAACATAAATAGTTCGATAGCTTGAATCGAATCCCCAACCAGCATGAGCAGTTGGTATAATTGTACTCGAACTGAATATAAGCAACATTCATTGACGCTCACACAAAACGGTTCGATCGAACAAAATCATTCGGAATCGAGCCTGAGTGATTGGAACTGAATGTTCGCTTTAAGCACGATCGCTTACGATCATACATTTTTGTTAAACCAATGTTTTCAATCATAAAAAATCCGAGTAAATGATCGAGTATGATAGAAAAAATTGTGATCGTTGCAGATCTCTGGTCTGCAAGTTTATCAATCGCATTCGGCAGCCGGATCTTAAGGTGTTGGATATCCAAAGCGGTACTCAATTATTGCTTCGTCTGGTTCAGCATTCTCATTTATGGGAAGACAAAACTCCTTGCAGTCTAAAGGAGTAGTAACCCATCTAGTTAGCTTGCATCTCTATCTCCCTTTATTGATCAGTTTGTGGACGGCCAACTAAAAAACTCGTCGCTGGACTTTAATGGCCGTCATCTAATCATATTGCCACGGAGCCATCCTGTCACTTCCGCCATCATTACTCATTTTCATGAGCGTAATCTGCACACTGTACCTCGGGTCCTAGACGGTGAGCAAAGTCTTCACAAATGTGTCAGATGCTTTCGAGCGAAGCCTAGATTATGCCTAGCGGAGCTAATTGATTGGCGCTTTATTCCACCCAGATCGCCACATTTTGGTGGTCTCTGGAAGACGGCGAAGTACCATTTCTACCGCGCTATTGGACCTTCAGTGTTGGCCTTCGACAAGCTGCGGAGTCTTTTGGGCCATATTTCGGCATTAGTTAACTTCCGGCCTTTAGTCTCAACTTTAGAAAATCCCGCTGATCTGGATGTGCTAACGCCAGCCCACTTTCTGAATGGTGGTCCACTATCCTCATTCATCGAGCCGGATGTGACAGCCCTTAACTTCAATCGGTTGAATGGATGGCAACGTGTGGCCTACTTGCAGCAAGTCTTCTGGATCCGATGGAAGGAAGAATACTTGACACTACTGCAACAGCACTCCGATGACGTGGCCCCTAACGAGAGTCGTAGAGATTTTGTTTAGTGGAGATTGAGTTGCTCGAGTTGCAGTTTTCAAGACAACATCAGGAGTGACAAAACGAGCAGTAAATAAGCTGTGTCTGCTGCCCCTTATAGATGCTGTTGAAAGGCAGGCTTCCATACTCATACTCACATACTCCCCCCATGTCGGGTCATTCAGCCGCAGCAGATAATTAGTTTCTCTTAATGCGAGCTTTTATCTTATCTGCATAATTACCATCGCTCTCTCTCTATCTTTTTTCTATCGCTCTCTCGTTGCTTGCTAACTTCCACTTTGAGTCAGAAATCGGCTGATCCCCTTCTCACTTGTAATTTAAACTCTTCTTTTCGATCCCGCGGACCATTTTTGTCAATCGCTTTAGCTAAAATAAAATCGATGCCTTTGCAGAAATTAAAACCTTAATTTTCGTCGTTTATTTTCAATAGCTACACTATTGTGTGAACTTAAGAAAAAACAAATTTTGCCTGGCTTACAATTGACAAAATTATTGAAATTTGAATGTTTTGTGGTGCCCAAAAATAAAAAAAAAGTGGGACAGTCCAGCTTCCACACAACACAACATCATATCCTCTTCTAAGTATTTAAAGGGATCACCTAAAGAATTCCTTTTTTTACCTTCTTAAAAAATACAATGGTTGCTTTTAAATGTCGTTATTTGGGGCTAAAAAATTATTGATGAAGTGTTTATGTCCATTTATTTTATTGGTAAGGATGGTGCAGACTCTGGATTTAAGGATAAAAAACAGCCGAGAGTAATCAATAAACTAAAGATTTTATATCTGCTTTGAAAAGAGCTCCAAAAAAGCATTGCCAATTTAAAAAAAAAGGAAGCTAGCGTTGCAAACTTCTGACTGAAATTATAATTATATCCTTTTGCTCTGCAAGGGTATAAAAAGGTCATTCACGCCGATAAAAAGAAGCCCATGCAGATGAGTTCGCTTTGGTATTTGTGAACCAACAACCTGAAAAGAGAGTCATTGGTATTGAGGGTTAAGATAACTACCCTAAATAAAGGCGAAGAGTTCCAGATAGTACGAACTTTTGAGGCTACAATATAGGGCTCAGTCAAGAAGGAGTTGACTTTTCCGGACCCTTCTTGATATGGTTAGAAACACGTTAATCAAGATCAAGATACTGTAATATTGAAAAGCCAATCAAATTACAGGCTTTTACAAACTTTGCAAAGTGGACCGAATTTCAAGAACCCTTCCTTAAGTTGAAGAACCTTTCTATTTCACGTAAAACAAAGAGAAGGAAAAATGACAATCATATACCATTCAACTGAAAATAGTCCTACGGAACACCACCCGCCCACGGCGCAGCAGCGAAAATTGGACGCGATATTAACAAGATCAAAAAAAAATCAAAAAGCGATTGTTTATGGGGAAGACAAGGAATATGCCACCCTTTGTAAATAATTAAGCGCACGATTAGGTTTAATTAAAGAATGCACTATGGTTTTTTTCGCGTTTTTTTTTGGCATAAAGTCAATTTTTTTACGTCAATTCAGCTTGGCGCTCAATCATAAGTGATCGCACCCTTCTCGATAGTACATAGTCGGTTTACTTATATCGATATATACATGCGATATTTTCTTAATGTTACCTTATCTTACTTATATAATATTTACATTATCTACAGTATCTTAAATTTTTTTTTTATTTTTAATTTTTAAACACCCTAGACAAATAAAAAAATTTGTTACTTTAATATATGGAGCAACACTGTTCTGCTGGCGACCTGTCAGTCAGCTAATTATGTATTGCCTGTTTTGTATGAAATTGGCGCGAAAAATTGTGCAACTTTGATCGTTTGTTGTGGCAAAAGTTTACGAAAAAGTTAAGTGAATAAATATGGAAAACGATTGTCCAGGTATCCAATACTAAAGCTTGCCAATGTTTGTGTCGTTGTTATGTGTTTTTTTCCAATTGTACCGTGTTTTGTTCATGTGTATTTTTAGACCGAACATAACAAGTGTAGTTGTGTTTCGTGGATCAGTACTATTGCATGGCAAAGTGTCGCAAAAAGTTGTAAATGAGAAACTATTAACCAAAGTGTGCAGATTAATGAGAAACTAACCATTTTTGTCCGAATCCACACGTTTTCGAAAAAATCAAAAAAGAAAATTTAGTAACTTCTATAGTAGGTAACATAACCAAACCTCTTTAAAATTTTGTAAAATGTATCTTTACTTTCAGATTGAAGCACTAATAATGGAGATGAATACTAAAATGTGATCTTGGATAAATGTTTTTTTTTTATTAAATATAATATAAAAAAAAAAAAAAAAATGTTTATTGGAGCTTTTTTGTATGTCGGCCAGATCGGTTATATGGCAGCTATATGAAATAGTGCTTTAAATCATTTGGAACTTGGTAGGTAATCTTGGAAGCTTCAAAAATGTATACAAACCAAATTTCAAAGCAATAGCTTGATAAACAAAAAAGTTGGGGCAAATCGGCCAGATCGGTTATATGGCTATATGAAATACTGCCCCAAATTATTTGAAACTTGGTAGGTCATCTTGGGAGCTTAAAAAATGTATTCAAACCAAATTTCAATTCAATAGGTTTAAAATTAGAGTTTATGCCAAAAAAATCGAAAAAAAAACCATAGTGGGATGTAAGCATTACGAGCTGCAACTGTTGTTAAAAAGAATTGTGTGTTCAGTTTTGCGGGGCTTCTTTAAACAGAAGTTCACCAATGTACAATAGCTTGGCTGAATAGATAACATAGACATAGATGAGATAACAAAGATATAAGAAGAGTAGTGTTACGAACTGCTTTCTTGGGTGGGCAGTGCCGCTAGCTCAGCGATCTCAATTGGGCCAAGTTCTCCCCAATGCCCGCTGTCTGACAATATAAACAAAACAAACATCGATTACGGTCGTCTCACAACACTAAATTCCTACGATCTCTAACAAAAAGGTAAACAAACAAAATTCAAATTCAAAACATTCAATTACAGGGCGACGGAAATTTGGATCTTTGGTGGCCATCGGTGTTCCTGGCCACGCACTGGGTACGCACCCACCCAACCTAGGATGCTAGGTAAGTATAATCCCCGCATCACCCATAATGGGTCAGTAATTCACTCCAGGCAACTAATTTAACTCCATCTCCCCCACAGAAAAAGGTCTAGCAATTCATCGTTACAAACTTGTCTTTAATACTTCAGGTAAGTTCATGTATATTTAACATTTCGCATCTAATTAATTTCATCAAAATCTATTTGTTCATTAGGCCCCAGACTCACCAGTTAACCGCCGGATAAATATTTAGCGGTCAAAGCGGGATCTAAGAAGCAAGGATCAGACACTCACCAGAAAAAATGTTCTGCCCCCTTGTACTGGCAGAACTCACTTCACTAATACGGCTGAGTTGTTTGGTCACCTAATCCTAAGGAGCTCCATGGGAATAGAAAGGACGCAGAAAGGTATGGGAGATTTACACAAACAAATCCTTCATCTTAAATAATCGCGACCTTTTCTTTTTAGCAAACTGCCGGTCAAGTGATAAGCTTTGGACTAATTCACAACTAAATTGGACAATCAGGTATTTTAATTATTAGTGACTACACATCTCATTAATTAATTTTCTCAGTTTCAGGAAGTGGTGGCTGGGCTCAGCCCACCAGAAAATTGCACCACAAGGAACTTGGAGGCGTATAGAGACTGGCTGACCAACCTCGTGGTATCAGCCGTTCGCGAATAAGTTGGCCACTATCGGAGGCACCCCGACACGGAACGGACTCACCGGAGGTCTGGAGTCTGAGAGGGTCGACTTGGGCTTTGATGCCGTGGTTCTTCAAAAATGTTCCTCCAAATGTACGTTCTCCTCAGAAAACTTTGTAGTTGTGTTCCCTCCGAAAAGGTTATAATTTCTTAAAAAATATATATGGGTTCCTCCAGAAATATGGTGTTCTTCAGAATTTAACTGTGTTTATCGAAAAACTGTGGCCTCTCCAGAATGTTCATATTTTCCAAAAAAAAAAAGGTCTGCTCCACAAAAAAGGTTATATTTTCTTCGAAGAAAAATAACCCTCGAAAAAATGTGGCTTCTCCAGAAATGTATTGCTCGCCAAAAAAAAATCCCGGGGCCCTTTATTGTGGGACCCCGGTTTCCCTAAACAAAATAAACATCTATATTTCCAAAAGAAAAATTACACAAAAAAACTCTAACTCACTTTTTTACAAAATTTGCACAAGACCACTACGAGGTTAAATTACCACGTCTATCGTGTCCGTCTTTTCTTGTACTACTACCCGGTTCCGTTGATCCGTTCTAGTCCGCAATGTCTCCCGCCATCCCCAGCCTCTCTCTAAGATGGGTCAATGGACCCCCTCAAGGCCATCTAAGAGAATCCCTAAGTCGGGATTGCGATTTTACATTCTACATGAATAACTTGTTTATGGCTCAAAACGGTCGCTTACTGGACCTCTGTTTTGTATCTAATCCTGAAAATGTGTTTCTCTCCAGGGTAGCACCGCTTACTCAACCTGAAGATCCATATCATCCTACTCTTGAGGTGCAATCGACACAGGTACCATAATAAAAGAGCAATCTATCAAGTCTGCTAAACGAATTTACTGTTTTCGCAAGGCAGACTTTTTGAGGCTAAGAAATTTAATATCTTGCTATAATTGGTCCGATCTTTACACTTGCAATAATATGGCGGATGCCATAAATATATTTTATACTGCAATCCAGACTTTTTTTTATTCTTGAGTTCCGAAATACTATCCGTCTATCTCTAGCAAACCTCCTTGGTTCAATAAAGAGTTGACACACTTAAGAAATGTAAAATCCAGACTGTATAGGAAATTTAAAGATACCGGTTCTCACTCTATCTTTTCAAAATATTTAAAAGCTCGGTCAAATTTTACCGTGCTTAATGCTCAGTATTACAAAAACTATTTAAACCGTTGCAAGGTCCAGTTTGCGCAGGATCCGAAACAGTTTTATAATTTCGTTAATACTAAGCGTAAAACATCTTCTTTCCCTTCCTCGTTATCATTTGAAAATACTACGGCAACATCGGATCAGGCAATAGCCGATTTATTTGCCCAGTTTTTTCAAACAACATACTCACCTCACTATGATCAGCCCTATTCTTATGCTGTATCCAAGTAGAATTTAGTATTCTGTCCCACGTTAAGCGAGAGCTCCCTACTTTGCGATCTTCAGCGTGTTAAGCCCGTATATTCGCCTGGCTCCGATGGAATTCCTGGCTGTGTGCTTAAATATTGCGCGGAAGCCTTGTGCAAGCCGCTTCTCAAATTGTTTACCCTCTCTTTGGAAATGTCACAGTTTCCCCATATGTGGAAGGAGTCTTTTGTCATTCCTCTTCACAAAAAAGGTAACAAATCGGATGCAAGCAATTATAGAGGTATCTCTAAATTGTCTGCCATTCCTAAGCTTTTTGAAAAAGTTATCACCCCTCACTTGCAGCACCTGTGTAGGTCAATAATTTCACCGTGTCAACACGGTTTTATAAAACAAAGATCAACAACCACTAATCTCTTGGAGTTTACTTCATTTGTGATTGGGGTTTTAAACACAATTTTCAAACAGATGTCATTTACACTGACTTTAGTAAAGCATTTGACTCTGTAAATCATTCACTTCTTATAAGGAAACTTAACTTATTAGGTTTCCCAGTTGATCTTCTAGAAGAGATCTTAAGTTATCTGAATGGCAGGACACAAAGGGTCCTTTTTAAGAATTCACTTTCTTGTGTTCTCCGAGTCACCTCCGGCGTCCCTCAAGGGAGCCACCTTGGCCCGCTACTATTTACCTTATTTATTAATGACCTTCCATTAGTAATAACTCACTCTCGTGTACTCATGTACGCAGATGATGTTAAATTGTGTTTGCAGTATTTACAATCCGATCTAGATAGCTTTGAAAAATGGTGCAGTGATAACTTACTCAACTTAAACGGCTCAAAGTGTAAGCTTATGACCTTTTGTCAAACTAACCCGATACGGGGGGCTTACACTTTAAGTGGATGCTCTTTGGACAGAATAACTCAGGTGGATGACCTTGGTGTTCTTCTGGACCCAAAATTAAAATTTTCCATCCATATTTCGTCTATGGTGAATAAAGCCAGGAGTGTGCTTGGATTTATAAAAAGGTGGTCAAAGGAATTTGACGACCCTTACATAACTAAAAATTTATTTATTTCGCTTGTCCGTCCATTCTTGAATACGGATCACCGGTCTGGAGTCCCCAATATGGAGTTCATTCGGATCGTATTGAATCGGTCCAAAAAAAATTTTTTACTTTTTGCCCTACGGCGCCTAAATTGGGATGCAAACCTTTTATTACCCTCCTACTCTAGTAGACTACTTATAATTAATTTAGCCAACCGTAGAACGATGCTTAGAACAGTTTTTATGTTTAATCTTATTTGTGGTAAAATTGATAGCCCCGACTTAGTTAGCAGGCTAAACTTTTCTGTTCCAAGTAGATTAACCAGAAATTACATCCCCTAATTTTAAATCAATGTAGATCTAACTATGAGCTGCATGATCCCTACAGAGTATTGTGTTCTGACTATAATAGACTTTATCCTATTATATCTATTTCTGACTCTCTGCCGTTCTTAAAGCGATCTCTCTTGACTTGTTTAGCTCAAAATTAGATCTTATTGTCTTCCTCCTAATTTTCCTCGGGCTTTTTCTTATTTTTCTAAGTCGCGACTCTCCTCTCCTGAATTTATTATTTTAATTTAAAATTAAAATAAAAGTTAACTTAACTTAACTTTTCTTGCCTTAATTTTTTTCTTTTAAAAATCGCGTCAAAACTATCGCGAATCGTGCCGTACGATACACGGCGGTCGCCCCTCGGTCGGTTGGGCGGGAAAGTGGGCCGTGGGACTACGCGCAAAAAAAAAAAAAAAAAAAAAAAAAAGTGGCGCTGCCCTAACCATCACTGCCTGTTCTACAATATCGATAACGTCCTCATGAAATTGACTCCAACTGCAACATCAACCAAGGATTTCGAGAGGAGCTACAACGAGGTTTTGCGGAACGACGAAATGCTTGGTAGTGTGAGGTAACCCTCACAAGGGCCCCCCTACCGTATGTACATATTAAGTTAGGAATAGTTTATAAGATAGGAGTTAGGGATTTAGGTTAAGGAGCTAGAAAGACCCATGGTGGGCACTACATCATCGACATCATCGCCAGCAACACGCATCAGCAACACCCATCGGCAACATTGCCGACATCATCAGCAACACACTTCGGCAACATTGCCGACATCATCGCCAGCAACACACTTCGGCAACATTGCCGACACAACGCCAGCAACATCATCACCGGCAACACCGCCAGCATCATCTCCGGGAACACCACCGGGATCATCACCGGCAACATTGCCGACACCATCTCTCCAAACTTACGCTCTCGGCAGCCGACGGCCGAACCAGGAGAGCCACGCACGAGAGGAGAGGAGCACGATCGCGTAGAGAGACGCGGGTGCAGGGAAGCTGCAGAGGAAGCAGGAAGACGACAACTGCACGGAGGCAGCGCAAGGGCCGCTGCCGCGGTCGGCAGCAGCAGCGAGGGCTTCGAACAGCCTCCGCTGTTCGCCGATCGGGGAGTAGTCTTGGAGATCCCGAACGAGCAAGTCAAGTTACCAGCAGTGGAAAAATACAAAAACACGGAGGACACGTGGACATGGAGTCCTGCCAGTAAACGGGTGAGCCGGCCGTGGGCCATCCCTACGGGGTGGCCAGGATGTGCGAGTAGGGCAATAGGGACAGTTAGGCTTGTTTGAAATATTGTAATAAATTATAAGAAACATCAATTACAACCGGCTGAAATTATTTTCTCTCCCATATCCTCCCTCCCTCGTATTTAGGAGCACCGGCCACCGGATGACGGGGCCGGCTAACCGATTCCCGGGTGACGGGATCGGCCGCTCATATCCTCCCTCCCTCGTATTTAGGAGCACCGGATGACGGGGCCGGCTAACCGATTCCCGGGTGACGGGATCGGCCGCTCATATCCTCCCTCCCTCGTATTTAGGAGCACCGGCCACCGGATGACGGGGCCGGCTAACCGATTCCCGGGTGACGGGATCGGCCGCTCATTTCCCTCCCCCGTATTTAGGAGCACCGGCTGATGGGGCCGGCTAACCGATTCCCGGGTGACGGGATCGGCCGCTCATAACCCTCCACCCCTAGTAGGGCTCCGGCACCCGGTTGACGGGGCCGGACAGCCGACTCCCGGTTGACGGGATCGGTCGCCCTGGCCTGCCCAGGTCCGCTGGCCGCCCGGTTGACGGGCCGACGGCGTGATCACGGCACGCAGAGAACCCCGATTTTCCCCTCGAATCCCGCACCTAATTAGGAAACCCGCCTCTTTGTCCTGCCTGTCTCCGTAAATAATAAATATTTCTGTAGGGGACCCTGGATAGACTGAGTATTTATCCTGGCCCGTGATTAGCATCCTTACAGTAGCTTTGGAGGAGGCCAGGAATACGCGTACTCTGGTGTTTCGAGCAGTTCGTACGGCGCCCTACGCGGGGGCCACGCTTGACGGGAAGTATTGGTGTTTGGTTTTCATGCGTTTGTATATGTACTTTGTGTACCCGTTGTAGATCACAGCCGGATGTTTCTTGGCATGGTACACCCCCAGACTGCGACCCTACAGATCTTCCAGCAAATAGGCGTTACCGCCAACGGATTTGACCACCCTCGCCTTCAGGATTTTTCGGGCGAACTTTGCGTTGAACGCCTTGCCAAAGTCGCTCAAGACGAAGTTCCTGCGGAAGACTTCCTGTCCAGGCTTGGCGATTAGCGTGCGGGATCGTTTGTCGTAGCGTTGACGGCTTGCCTCATACGCGCCTACAAGCTGCTTCTGCACTTTATCACGAATTACCTGCAACTTGTCTTTGG